AGCATCCACAGTCTTCCTGTGTTTAAATTTAGGTTGAAGACCTTCCTTCTATCCAGCCATTCAAGCTCTGAGTAATTACTCAAATGGGCTACCACTTTACTACCCCTAATTCCTGTAATGCTTGATAAATTGGCATTGAAGTGTCATTTGGTATGTTATTATTGTTACTCGTCTTTTATACCTTAGCTAATTCTAACGTCTTCAGTTCAAGGGCATCCCTACTCGTCAAGCCTTTCTTCTTGGGGATCTCCTTCCACATCGTATCTCTTGTACATGTATCTTATGTATTAGTCTATCCTACTGGTTCCAATTCAGTTTAAGGGAAATTATTAATGTAAGATTAAGTCAATATTAATGTTTACAGTGACACTGTTGTTACCTGATGTGGAAAAAATAACGAATGAATGAATGTTCAGACATTTTTGGAAGGAAGGAAAATAATACATAAATCAAAAACCGCCTTTAATTGTTTCTCAAAACACTGGTATTCCTCTTTTTTCTTTTGGGTAACATGGCCTCCGTTGCTCAAAGTACATTTCACGTAAAGTACACCTTGAAAATAGTTCGCGGTACCCGCTGCTTCACCTGACTGTGATCAGCCAGCCGACCCCGGCAAGTTCGGTTGTCGAGTGGTCAAGACGTCTGCACTAGTAAGCAGGAGGTCGTGGGTTCGAGTCCCACCTGAGTGAGCTTGTGATTTTTTTCCTAAGCTTTTGGACAAGCACTGAGTATAGAGTGTTTAAGAATGTTACATGTACGTGGGATCAGGCAAAAGCAATTTTCACACCTGTGGTGTTGGTCTGTGGCATATTTCAACGTTGCCGAATTTGTAGTTCGGGAGATGTTGGCCTGCCATATAAGTCAACGCATGTTCACACGTCACGTGACAAATGAAGACGTCATTTTGGCTTCTTTTATAAAGAAAAATAAGGAAGTTAGTTTCTACATATCCGGTGAATTTCATGCTGGTGAGAACTTGTTCAGTAACTATGTTAAACAAAATTCACAGTTCTGGATGACGTTATCATAACAACTTTCTGAACAACCTACACCTCTACTGACACCACCAAACAGCTTGCAAAAGGACTTTTGGAAAAGGTATGACATGTATAAATAAGCTGTCAATCCCTAAAATAGGCTCTTGACAGGACTTAGCAAATCTAATTTCAGATAAGGTCCCTATAACCAAAAGTCGTGTGAAAACTTAGAAAACGTGGGCTGTTTTGAACCTTAACGCTTCAACACTGTAATACATGTACATGCAATATTTATAAAGAAAGTCCCTGAATTTAGGATCTATATTCATTGATTACAAACAATGGCAAGTTTAATGAAGGAAACCTCGATCTAAATGAGTTCTCTAACATTATTGAAAATATCTCCGCAATACAACATGACTTCCAATTGAAATGTTTAGCTCAATTCAAAAGCACAATGAGTTAAATTTGATATCTTGACAATTTGTAACAATTTTTTCGGGACAAAATAGACGTTAGTTTTGGTTCCGTTCATCCTCATTCTTTTTGGGACATCCTGCAAGGTGAATCCTGTGCTACGTACATTGCATCGTGTGATGATGTATCCTCAATCTTTTACATTCAACAATTATTGTAAACTCAAAATACAGTTAACTGGCAAAAGTGCACAACTTCATCACTTAAACGCAGTTTATTTTGAGCAAATTCAGGGACACATTTAGCTACCTTTGTTTAATTATTTTTATTCTGCTGGTATATATCTTTGACTTTGGTAAACGCAGTGTCGTTGAAAAAAGTCGTTGCCTTCAGTTGATTAAATCAAATATTGGTCAAGAGTTTAATTTCTTTTTGGCATAGCTGTAATTAAAACCCGGAAATTAAATGAAAGGGAATGGGACAAAACCTTTAAACTTGTTTCACAGAAACTGTGTAACCTTATCCTGTTGTTTGATATAGAGTTCGTGAAGTTTAAGTTTGTGACTCAGGGTAGAATTATGAGAACCAAAAATAGTTACAGCCCAGGCATTATTAGTTTGGCCTAATTATATAGCGACGCAATTTGACAAAAAAATCATTTGAGTACGTGTATCTTCTTCAAATGGGTAAGAAGTATTTCTCCTGGTATATCAATTTCGACCACAGTAACTTCGGATTGGGTCAAAATTGCTTATAAAGACATGATCTTGCCACATTTTGGCATACTGAGGCTTGGCGTGTACTGTTTCTTCTCGTGCAACCTTTGCTGTTAATACCGTTTGTTCAACAGCTTACAATCACCACCATCATCATGAATCGATTCATCGTTTTGCTGCTGCTTTGCGCCATTGCAGGTGAGTTGATAATTCACGTAGCCTGTATGGGTGTTCTCTCGTGGTTACGCGTCGTCTTCTGAATGTTGGCATTGCTCATCAAAGCTGTTTATTGGTCCCTGAACGAAAGAGCGACGACGATGTCGTGAACCTTTCCGACTATGTTAGCCTGCACTCCCGGCATAGCTCAAGCACCTCACAGGCTGTAAGCCCCACCGATCCTCGTTCATGCTCCCCCTGAAAAAGCGAAGCTATCGACATGTTTGTTCAACATACAGATAATTTAAACACAATCCACAGTGAGCTGGTCACGTCATGGACAATCGCACTCATCGGATACAGTGTTCTGTTTTCTCTTTATGGATGTGCATTATGTACGTACAACCAAGGCAGCAGTCAATACTAGAGACATATTAAGGCAATCTTGAAAGCACGTATGTTACTCATTGAAGATTTCAAATTGTACATTGATCAACCCAATAACTATGAGTTTTAATCTTTTGACATATTTTAGTTGCCGTTAAAAGTTTTTAAATTTTATTTTTTTCCCGTTTTACCCTCAAAGAGCCCCCAGCCCGGTGATTTTTTATACAGGCGTCTCTAAGATTACTTTCTGCGTGCTAATACCTTACAACAATTTCTTCCAGTGTTTTAGCTTCATTTTGACCCCAAATTTATGAAAATCGGACGTGGCGTTCTCTCTCGGCGACGAATATTAGAAGGCAGGGTGAAGCGAGATGTGAAATTTACAATGACTTTGTACACAGCAGGACAGAGTGGTATCCTGCCATAAATAATTAATTAGTCATAATTATGTAAAGACTTAATTAACTTAGATGAAATTTCACACAGATGATAAGTATGGATGCCTCTATGACACTGTCAAATTTCATTGAAGTACATCATCGTAAGGTGGAGATGGAGGGGGCAGATTCCCCCCCCCCGGCTGTGACAAGGCCAAAAAAGTCTGGCTCTTTGAGGGTTATTATTAATTAAAAGACCATAGTTTCTTATTCATTTATTTTGTCTTGTTATGACGCCACGATCGCACACGACAGCATTAATTTCCCATATCAGCACTCCCTGCTATAAAAAACTTTTCTGAAGTTCCGCATATGAAGCTCTTATATCCCCAGCTGTTCTCCCACAGATTAAGGTATAAATAAATTTCTTAAAACAATTTAGATTAAATCAATTTTTTTTCAATCAGAGTTGAAAATGCCAAAGTCCCAGCCATAAATGTTTCTTATTACAATTACAACGCCCCAAGATTTTGACGTGGGATTTGTTGTAAAGCACAGTGCTTGCAGTGCATTAGCGGGATTGGAGCTACATGAACTGGCCATTGCTTTAGCTCTAGAACCTGGTGAAGGTCCAACAAAATTATCAAGCTTTGCTCGACCGTTGGAAACACATGCACTGAGACCAAGAAAAGAACCCAACAAAAATGGAAATTTCCTGTACCTTATGAAGAATTCATTCTGTGGGAGAACTCGCTGATTTTCTGAATTTTTTTAATTGTTACTTCGAGTTGTAGGATTTCGGAACGTATTCTTGTTGCGGGCGTCGCAGGCTCCCTGCGTTCGACACAGTTCTGGCTATTTTTAGCGGTAGTAACCAGTGTATCCGCGCTTCATGCGCCTGGAAGTCGCTTCACTTTACTTTCTTTTAGGAACCAAGAGGAGAGTTCACGAATTAGCAATTAAGACTTCAATAATGTTTGAAAACTCAAGTTGGGCAAAACGGAAGTTTTCAAAACATCTTTGCTATTCAGGTTTTGTGCGTTTGTAATGTAACAAATAAAAGCATAATGGCCCAGAAGACCAATTAATTTGTGACTTGTAAGCCTACCCTTTCGTTTCGTTTTCTTTTATTTGTACTTTTTCGGTTGTTTTCTCAACAGTTCAACAAATCAGTGGCCATCCAGGCGCGGACACCAAAGAGGGAGGGAGAGTGTAAGCAAAGTTATCTCGTATATAGTTTCATTAAAATAAATATCCAAAAGGCATCAGTACTGTCGTTGTATATTTTAATAAGGAACAACGTTTTGCTTGACTGGACTTAACCAAACACATGTAGGCCCTATGTTTAAACCTCAGGTCAACCGAATGGTCTCTACGCCTTATTCGTTTTTGCTATTTTTTTCATGAAAAAAAATACGGCCAATGTAATCAACTCCCGTTTTTGCCTACCTCTGTTCATGCTGAACAGCATAGTGTAGTCCCCTTAAATGTCTAGGATTCCCCTTACCCAGAAAACAAAATATTCAAGTTGGCCCCTGGCCAAGTCCCATGGGAATGTGTATAAACAATTTTGCCCCGTGGCCCCATGGGAATATTTATTCGGCTGAAGCCAAGGCTTGCCAGAGCTAGCCATGCAGGTCCTGTCATATGTCATGTCTGGCAGGCCAGCGGCATTCTCTTATGTCTCAGAGTCATTGATACCGGCTGTTTGGAGAGGATAGCTGTGGCTTGGCAGTTGATAAATGGCGGAAGCTTGGTCCTAATGCGGCATATGATACTAGATATGGGGCGAAGAGAACCCCCTCCCTTTGTGTTGGTCATTGGAATTCCTTCCGTTTTGTGGATGATTTATTTTTTAATTGCTAGTGTGCCCTCTCAATTTACATTAGCATTTCCGACCTAGTCAAGAAATTCACACTCACTTCTCATATTTCGATGCAGTAATTTTTTACAATCCATTTAAAAATGCTTTTCAACAAAATAACCCTCTTACTTAAATATCCCCCGGAACATTTTCGCTTCTTTGATTAAAAGATAACACCTTTAAAATTGCGAGTTATACCAAAACAAAGACTTGGGAAGTAAACAATATTTTCATCCACTTTTCATGCTTGGGAAAACTGATTAGGTTCCTTAAAGGCTTAAATTACAGTTCATATTAACGGGTTAAACTGACGTTATTCTCTGACCCTATATTTCCTTCCGCTACATAATCTATCCATGTTTGAGAGGATAATTTCGTTTCTTCGATTCAAAGACATTTCGAAATTCCGACGTCACCTCATTAATCGAGTGCAATGTAGCGTATAAGACATTGACATGCTTGTCGTTGTTCAGGATGATGCTGGCTGGTATATTGTCAACCTATAACTTTCTTCAGCAGTGTATGGCATTAGTAAGCACAGCCTGTAATTTTTAGAAGGTGATATAATGGCTATCTTGGACCCATTTTGCGCAGGGCTCGCTATCCGCACTACTGTGGCGCGTCTCTTCAAGAAAAATACCGTGAGATTTGCCATGCGTTCCGTGGAGTCTCCAACCAAGGTATTTAAGTCAAAAATGCAGTCTCTTACCCGTGGCGTAGCAAAGAGGGGCAAGGTTAACCCCCATGGGAACGCTGGCCCCGTCTATTCCCTTGAGACGAGGCTGGATACGCAAATGTCTCAAAAACGTTCAGTCAAACAAACAGAAAAACCCACTAATTTTACATTTATCCAATTTGAGCATTGAGATCGCCCCCTCCACTTTCTCACCAAGGCTTTTCCAAGAAGGGCAGATTGCATAATTTAGGAACGCAGAGGTAAAGCACTGCTTGTCCCGTTGCTGTCACAAAAACTCACAAAAAATGTCAACTGAAATCGGGTATAAATTGGTGGATTTAATTCTCACGCTTTTTTGTTTCAGTTTGAACTTGGCGCCTTTTGTTCTATTTTTTTCTTTTGGTGGTCCCAGCTTGATCGCCTTGATGCATGAATGTCTCCGCCAACAGACTGTAAACGTCGTGCAGAAAATGGCCGTAGAAGACCTCTTCATTAATTAAACGGCCCCTGTTGTTTTGTAGAAGAATCGATTTTTTTTCATCAGTAGGGCTGATGGTGAAGATAATAGAAGGCATTTAGTGAAAACACATTTTTTTCGTCACCCGTGCTGCAGAGTTTCTGGATTCAAAGGACGCCAACACATTCTTATTCGGACGTGGTATCGGGAAGCGAAACCTCAACGAGGAATGCTGCGGTGAGGGTTGCGATGACGAGGAAATTTATGAAATCTGCTAAAAGAGAAACCTACGTGAACCTGGCTGACTTCTTGCCATCTTCATATTCAGCCTTACAACAAACAATGTTTTCCCACTCATACTCATAGGTGGCGGTTTTCTTCATTGAATAGTAAATACAAAATGGCATTTGCTTCCTTTTTTGACATGTCGTGAACATTCAGCACGCAGCTCCTATTTCTAACGCGTATATTACCTCCCATTTTGGGGGTTGTCTCAAAACAAATCTTTGGACGTCGACATGCATAGCCAAAAAAATATGGCAGGTGTTGATCCTACTGAATGGATCAAACTTTCCTCCTCCTAGCGGACATTTAAAGGATGCTCAGCGCACTGATCACCCCTTCAGGTTCCTCAAGGTTAAAATGGAGTATTGAAACGCATAACAGCCTGCCTTTCAAACTAAAATAAATTTCTTAAGACGACTCTGTACTTCTGCTCGCACACATGACACACGGTTCTTTATTTTGATGGAAAGTCTTCAGATAAAGTAAAAAAAAAACCAAGAATGATTCTTGCCTATAATGTGCTCTGGGTCATATATGAAAACTGGCGAATGCGATAAACCACGAAACCATAGCAAAAAAAGGTTCCATGTCAATCTATGTTTATGCATTATTGGCAATTCTTCTCCAGGAGTTACTTCTTAAATTAAATTAGCAAGACTTACTACGAAGGGCCTACTTTAAGATTATCTCTCCCTTTCAGCTGTTCTGCACAATGATTTCAGTCTACATGAAAGATTAAAGTTAACTTGCAAAGAAGTCAGTTGGTATTTCTGTGTGATGATTTATAAAACTTGTATCTTCTGGACATTGCAGAACGTCAAACTGTTTGTAAGATTGGCTGTCCGGGTCATCATTGTAATTTTTGAACTAAAGACCTTACAAAATTAACCAAAGTTGGCAAAGTGTAAGGAGAACAAAGGAAAAAGTCTTTAAAATTTGTAATTGATCCAGTTATTTATAGGTACACAAATCTGATTTTGGCATCGTACCATCTCTCAATCTTCATTCTCTGCACTCTCGTGCCTGGCAGACAGCTCTTAAGTTAAACTCCAATTTTCGTCCGTGTCCCTTTTGGGTCATATCAAGCGCTGGATGACTTTGCCGTCCAAATCTTGAGCGCAACAAACTGTTGCGTTTCCTAAATACCAGGCTTGTGATAGCATGGGCTTTTACTATTTTTCACAAAGGATGTGATATTCTGAGTCAAAATCTTACAAAATGTACTAAAATGAGCGGGAAACAAAGGTTTGGGGTAACAGTTTGTTGCTCTCACCTGTCCTCTGTTGCTTCAACTAATTGAGTTCATAAGTGGTTAAGAATGAGGAGTAGCTGAAGATAAAGTTGTATGTTACTAAAACTACGGCTTGGCAGGGAACATTGAAAATCCAAGTCAAACGTCGTGGGCACGGTAAGGGTATATTGCATCGCACAACTCGACCCATTGGGCGTGGTGGGAGCTGTTTGGGGCCACCACGGTGACGAGCAACAGCTGGACGGGGCTAGCGGTACGTACCGACTGCACTGCCGCCGCTTAGACTAGAATGTGGTGAGGCGCAATGATGGAATTGCCGCACTGGCTCAGTGTAGAGACGAAGAGCACCGTGGCTAATAAGCTGGACCAGAGCGGCGAGGGACATGGGAGTGTCTCGCTCGGCTAGCGGCGACGGGCCGCTACGATACAACTCGCTCTACTGGGCTAGTTTGCACCACACCTAAGCTAGCTGGGCGTCCATATGTTTACCAACGCACTTAAAGAACGACAAAAGTATGGGGACGCTAGAATTTCAGAGGTTTGTGGGTGTGCAACACTTCATGTACCTATGCAAACCGAGGACAGATTCTTCATAAAGCAGACCGTGTGGACCCATTGACAGCATTCCCCTGGTTTCTTGAGCGCTAGGTCGGTTAAGTGGAACTTTTTTACTAAGGTAACTGTTTTCTCGTAACATCCCACATACACCCGCTACAGTTACCATAGAAAAAGCTTCCTGCATCAGCAATTTTTCGACAGACGGGTCTCTAGACCCACCAGCTGGGGTTCAACTACATCTGCTCCACTAGCAATTGTGGGTTCGTGATGGCGCCGTTTGCCAGAGTAGACAGTAAATCTGTTCCCCGGTAAGACTGTCCAGAGGATAGCATTACCAGGTAAAAATTCCCCCCCCCGCCAAGTAAATCAGTCCCCCTGAAGGTTATTCTGTCCCATCCTGGTAATTTTGCCCCCCCCTCGTTTTGCCACACAGAAGTTGTCATTTTCGTGTTGGGATGATGAATTCAGTCCACATAAAAATACAGATCGAGTTTTTTGGAGCTTCATCAGGCTTTCAAATTGGGGAGGGGGGCACGACATATAAGGTCAACCGAGCCATGTTTCTGCACACTTCTTGCAGGAACAGTAATTACTCTCGGTTCTGGCGAGGCGCCGAGGGTACGGATGCCCTTTAATACCAATTTAAACTCAGCAAAAATAGCTTTATAATTGCGAAACAGTGCAATATGTTGCGAAATAACGATCTGCGTTTCCGAAATCACACAGTAGTTTTGGTGATCTTATGATTGTTGCGTTCTCAGGGGTATACTCGTATTAACACGAGTAGTTACTCGTATTAACACGAGTAGCTCGCTCGAACGCACCCCAAGTTCGTCTGCTCCAGTATAAAAAGAGCAGCATCAACAATTGATGACTTCACAGTTAAAATAAGTCTGTTAAATAACAGTAGATTCTATTAATTGGCATTTCAGAAGTTGCTGTTTGGGACAACATATTCTACTGTCCATTTTCTCTGTATACTATCTGGAGATTCTATAAGAAATAAAATTAATTCGTACGTACCGGTACGGATTACTATTTTGTACGTACGGATTACGTAAATTACGTACGGTTTTGTAAATAATGATCCTAGGCACTGGTCACATTCAAACTTCCTCTGGAGGAGAAGCATCCCCTCATCGGTAGAAAAAAGCCATGCGGTTGGGGAGTTTTGTTGGTAGGGCCGGACGCATACACAACGCATATATCTCATTATCAATGGAGAACCAGCAAAGAGTAGTTTCTACCCAATGGTATCTGTTGCAAAGAAATCGCACACTCTCTTGGTCCCGCTCGGGCCCAATGAACTAAAGTTTAGTCATGCAATGCAACATGTGGATTACTAATCCACAAATACTGCTTGGTAATCCGTACGTAAGAAGCGGTAATTATTTTTTTGTACTTACCATGTCCTTAAAAACTTCCATAGGACCCTCCTATTAGTAAACAGAGAAAACCTCGCAATAGAGTGTGCTGTCCCAAGACAGAAACTTCTGTAATGCCAATTGGCAATAAAATGTACTGTTTTTAAAACATTCATTTTTGACAGTGCTTTTCTTTCTTGAGGGCAATCCATAATAGGCCAAACATTGTTTAAGGGTCCTTAAATCTTACGTTGATACCACGATACCAAAAACTGCAATATGTGATCATAACTCAAACCAAGAGAGAGGTACAAACTCACGAGTCATGCTTACTGTTTAGCTTTCCTCAAATATCCCCGAAATCACCTGCACTGCTTGCTCATGGTCCGGAGAACTGTTGCATCATTTTGCAAAGGTATTGCATTATTTCGCAAACTTACTGCGTTATTTCTCAATAAAAATATTTTTGCCGAGATAAAATTGGCACTAACGGGCTTCCGTACGGGGGAACTACGACGACCCCTCGGAGCTGGCACCTAGCATTTTTACCATCTTGCCAAAGAATTAATTAACACGGGCGATTTACAATTCACTGCCCCACCGACTGGCCTTCTTGGCAGTGCGTTGTATTCGACAAAGTTACATTCGTCAGCTGAGCTGAGCGCGGGGAAGTTGATTTGATCCCGATGTTTGCTTGTCTGGGCAGAAGATTCGGAAGTGTTTGAGTATCAATGTCAATTAATCAAGATGGCGGTTTTGTGAGGCAAGGAATGGCCCTACCATTCAAACATTTCCTGAAATTGTTTAGTGGCATTTGCTGAAATGCAAATTGTGGCAAGTAGACCATGTTTTTATCGACCGTTCACGTAAAAAATTGGTGTCGCGCTGTATTGCGAATCACTCGTCCTGCGACCACCTCAAATTAGTAGCTATTTAGGTCGCAAAGTCAACATCTTAAACCAATAGCTCTGATATAATTGTAAATCCCACTCTCGTATAGTGCGGAGGGATTGGAGCATATCATAAGTTTTTTATGGGGGGATCAATTCTGAGCTAGCATCCCCTCCACGACAATTCCCAGGTGCCCCACTTGCCTTTCATAGCTAGAGGTTTGGCAAAATTTTGTTTTGTTTAGACGCGTTTGGAAGGAAAGGAAAGGGAAATAATTTACATAAGTAATGCATTGATCACAGTCGATACTGCGCATAGGGAAAGTTGTCGTACGCGCAACCATAAAACAAACACTTAGCTGGTTCACATGGGGGGAATTTAGTTCTTCAATATCTGGCCCTATGAAAATTGGATTTCATTATGTTTACGGCTCAGAAGGGGACAACATCTGTTCAACCGATGAGTTTATTGTCAACACCGAAAGTGGAAACGTTCTAAACATGTTTTTGCCGCCTAAACGTTACACTTTTTCTTGTGCAGAGCTCACTCAAACTGTGCATTCGAGCACTAGAAGTTTCCTTAAATATCGACGTTGGGAGTCAAGATATCACAGCCAAATGTTCAGTTAGGTTTGCCATTTTAGAGGTGTACAATTAGTAATTACCCACTTTTGGATTGTATAATTATGCTATTTGTGTGTTATCCTAGGAGAGAAAGCTAATAATTTTTGTGGGCACCCGAGGCTGGCCTAAAGACGTCCACTCGCCATTTTTATTTTAGACGTACTGAATATTCATGAGTCTCCTACCAAATTTGGACATCGTGTTTTTATTAATGGTACATTTAGTAGTGCTTGCATTCTTTTCTTATAGGTTGCTGAACTTGTCATTTTAGCCGGAAAGCAGTACTTACATCGAGTTCGAAGTGCATCTTGAGCTACATTAACATGTACAGAGAGAACACTTGTGTCAGCATATCGTCAACTCAAATAAATTGACACAGGAAATTTTCCAAGAACTACCTATTTACAGTTCATTTACTGATTAAAAAAACTTGTTATACAGTGACAAATACAATTCTAGTCTCGGCCTCGACATTTTCTCTCTTCTAGTCAACTCACAACTTATTCCCTCAAGCATGGTGGGAGGATTGAGTGGTTCTATTCCATCTTTCGTCCAGCTCAAGAAATTAGGTCTTGACAGCAATAGCACCCCCACTGGATGCACCTTAGACAGCCACTCAGAAGGGAGAGGAGCCTCTCAATGCTGAAGCCCCAAAATACTATCTGACATTGCAAATTAACATCACCAATACCTACTGATAATACCCTGATTGAAAATATAGCCGAGTAATACAAGATTCTGAAATTCCACGGGTAAGTACGTCCACTCCAATGATGACTACAAAGGTAATAGATTGCTCACAATAACTTTAGACAATTAAATTGATTCAACCCACGTCTTTGCAGCAAGTTCTTCCGTCCATGGTCACCAGCTAACCGGCAACTTTATGTTCAGTGGAACATGAGTGTCCCAGCAGAGTACCCGCTCGCAGTACTGCAAGAAGTGGCATCTAATATCGCCATGGTCGAGTTGCAATGGTAGTGTGTAGAAAAAAACCAAACAACTAGAGGGTTGACGGTTTTTAATACAAACGCAGGCTGTTTCGGCGTTTTCGAGAAAATATTTCAA